CTTTTTTTTTTTGAAATTTTAGGATTGTTACATTTGTGTTTAGCATCATGGGATAGTAACATGAATGGGCAAATTTACAATAATAAATTCTCAATTAAATAGTACTTTGAGTTCAAGCTCCAAATATTTTAAAAATAGGACGTCTTTTTTTAAAAAAAGGAATCCTAATTTAGATCCTCTTGCAAATAGAACAAAAAATATCTAAAATTATTATTCATTTTTTGTAGTAATAGATTCAAAGGTAATTGGCCTTTTCGAAACACAGAAGTGTCAATGATAGTATCAATTTTCAACACCGACAAATAAAATTTGAAACTTTAAAAATGGTACAGATCTTGTGGATTTGTGAAAACTTATTTTTAGTGTGAAATGGACGGTGTAAAAAAATAATTATAATATACATTATATTTAGAGCTTGAAATCTTAATTTTTTTCACAACTATAATGTTCAAGTCAAGATGATTGATGTAAAGGTTTTTCAATGCTTTACTTGAGATTTTTAATGAGTTATGAACATAGGCTTTACTTATTTTGATGGTGCTGCAACTCGATCAAACCATTTTCGTTTAACTTAGATAACCTAAGTGTGATTAAATTACCATAATGTCCTACTTATTTAGTGTTCCCAATCTTAAATGCGGGTAGATTGGTAACACATTTTCTAGAGGGGCACTTGATTGCAATGAAACTAACCATCTCAATCCCAATGTCAAATGGGATCATTTGACCGCCTTGATAATTTTGTAGATAATTTTTTTGTATTTACATTTGATTTATTAAAAGTTAAAGTTTTACTACTTTCCTTTAAGTTGGGTTTAAGTAGATCTTGGGAAATGCGAGTACATTGTCCTAGTGTGTTCACCCTCCTAATGTCTATATTGGATATGGTTTTTGAATATAAAACTTTATATGTTTATTGTATAGATCACCATAATTATAAATCTGTCGTGATTGTATATACGGAGACCATTTATCTTTGGTACAGGGAGGTCATAATTGTTTACAATCATCCGAAGTAAAATCTGATAGACCGAGTGCATCATAAAGTTTGAAAAAATTTCTTTTGAACTTCGAGCATGGTCAATGAAATAAATGCAACCACCCAATTTCACATCTAATTGTGACCACTTTTTACCAAAACATAAATGATTTTATTATGTACTTTTCCAAATCTAAAAAACAAAAAATTGATCTTTAAAGATGTCTATTTTGTAATTTATTTATACCTCTCGCTTTAGTTAATCGAATACCATCAAACTCAACTAAAGTGGTTTAGAATATATTTCGAATCCCAAATCTTTCAAAAACCAGGGCTGGGGCATTGGGTCGCCCAATTCATCAAACATTTTTCCTTTTATATAAGAAAAAAAACTAATAAAAGTAAACCTAACTTTCCAACAATTTAATTGTTCCCTTTTTCAACTATTATGATTCGTGATTGTATTTAAAAAAAATAAAAGACTACAATATATTAAATAGTTGAAATGTATGTATACCTCTATTAATTTCCCTATAAATTTCTTTACGTAAAACCCAATAATGGCGCCACTTTAATAACATACAATGCCTTTTTAACATGTGCAAGGGCAGTTTTGATATATAAACTAAGAAAATGGACATTTCATTAAAATCACAATATCAGATTGTGCAGGCTTTTTGTGGGGTTCTCGGCACTCCAAATCCCGATACAATTTTCATACCCACCCCAGTTATCATCCATCCTTTTCTTCAATCTTACTCCAATTCACCACCGTATGATCATGATTAAAATCATCGCATTGACGGCTTAGATCAGCGGGCACGGGTCCGTGTAAGAGATGCTTACAGCGGAATATATTCTCTCTCTCTCTCTCCAGAAATTTGCAGGTGGAATGCAGTCACCTGCGAATGATTGTGTGGTTGCTGGGCTTTAATGGCTTTCTTTCTCTCTCTAACTCTCTCTCTCTCTACATCTGACAAATTTTGGAAGAGAAAACTTGAAACGAAAATGTGTTCGGTTTAAAAATGAAGAGTGCGTAAACAGGGTATATCCAATCTGGATGTAGAGAGGGAGAGCTTAGTTACTGTAAATAGAGAGTTTTAGTGAGAGAGAGAGAGAGTGTGTGTTTTTTGGTTTGATGGGAATCTGCGAATTTTGGAAGGAGGATATTTAGAAAGAACATGTGTTCAGTTTAAGCTTTAAAGAGGCAGAAAGAGGAGTATATCCAGTCTGATGAGAGAGAGATTAGCCTGGAGCCTGGCAGGAGAGGGAAAGTTTTAGAGAGAGAGAGAGGGTTATTTTATTAGTTGGGAAGTGAGAGAGTGCGTGTTTTTTGTTAGAGAGAGTTTGTTTAGTTTGGAAGTAGAGAGAGAACGAGAGAGAGAGAGAACGTTGTGATTAGTTGGGAAGTGAGCCAAACGTGGGAGAGGAAGAAACCAGGAAGGAAAGAGAGAGAGAGAATCTTTGTGCTCGTGACTTGCTTTTGAAGCATGGGTAAAGTGCAGATGAAGACAGAGACAGCTTTGTGGGTCTGTAAATTTAATGTCCAAGAAAAGAAGGCATAGGAAAACTCAGGATTAGAAGAAGAGATAATGATTACTTTGAGAGAGACTGCATTCCGAAGAGAGAAGTCTACAGAGGCATGAAGCGAGTGAGCATCTCTGCTCCATGACAGTGCGGAAGAAAAGATCAGAACAGAGAAAATCCGTGGAGGAGATGTATAAAGAAACTATCATCGGTCTTTGAGAGAGAGATGGAAGGTGACATTCAAAAGAAGCTTTTGAGAGGATTTTCTCAGAAGGCTCTGCAAATGAGCTCCTCTTGTTCATGCACAGGGGTAATGGCCTTTTTATCTGGGGCCTTAGTCAGTTTTCTGTTACTTGCTGCAAGTACTTACAGAACTAGTGACAAATCCATGGAGGTTGGGCTTTCTTTTTCTGTTCCTGCAACAACACAGGACGTTAAATTCAGGAGAAATCAGATACCCAAGGAAATGGGTAAGTGGGTCCATCTTTTGATTCAATTGCATATGTTAATTGTTTGGTATCATGCAGCTCTTTCATTCTTTATCAGTTTATCCAAGAATAGGAAAGCCCACATAAAGATTGTTTTCTCTAATAGGAAAGCCCATATGAAGATTTTTTTTCCCTTTCATGTCTCTCAGTTGGTGAACTACTGTGAATTGAAAATTTGTCTATTTTCCAGTAATTATTGTCATATAATTTTTATCTTTATGAAAGTTGTCAGACAATTACCCAATTAAAGATCAATTCCCATAAAAGAAGTTCACAATTTATGAAAAACACTTGAATTCCATTATTGCATTTGATAAGTGGTCTCACTAGATGATATCAAGATAGAATTGCAGAGTACCAGCATAGATCAAAATGAATTTAAGGCGTTCTTTCCATTTTTTAGTTACTTTTTCTCTTTGAAGGGTAACTTATATTCTTTTTGATTGCATGTCATTGTAAAGAACTTTCTATTTTCTTGGGAGTTTTTCAGTTAAAATGACTAATATAGTAACCGCATTTATGTTTCATGGCATTCCGTTACGTACCTCTAAATTGCAGGGCTTTTTTGTTGATTTCTTCTGTTACATAACTTGTTGGAATACTTGGGATTTTTCTTAATGGATTTGGAGAATTGAAGGTGCTTTGCTTTACCAATAGGCTGCAATTCATTGCCAAAAGAGGCGGAAAATGGGGCAGATAGTGATAGAAGCACTGATCAGAAACTCTCTCTGTTGTATTCGATGTGGAGCTCACAGTTACACCAAGCACCAAGCAAGGACTATACCTTTTGGAGTAAACAGGGATTGAACCAGTCTGATATACCCAAAGCTCCTCATATCGAGAACTGCAAATTGAGCATAATCAAGAATAAGAAACTTGACAGCTATGGAGAAAATGGAACATTTCCTCATTGGAGTCTTTGGAAAGGGTATTTAGGTCTTGAACTGCACCCACCAACTTTACAATTGGGTGGGGGGAGGCAGTTGGGGCATCATGGAGGATCTGAACCTGTATTTCCACCGTGGGTATGTTTTTACAAGTTTTTTCATGAACTCCTTCAAGAGATCATGTCTCTGTTGAAAAATTATTTCTGTATTGCTTATTTGTGTGTTTATAGAGTAGTATCGTGTGACTTGTTATATGCATGCAGGGCATGTCCATGCACGTCTGCTGATGTGTAGGCATTCATAGACCCATCTATTTCGTTTCAATATGTATGATTATGAATCTTCGTGTGTGCATTACATTTTAGCTTAAGATATGCATGCATACACAAATACTAGGATTGGTGATCTTGTGGATTGTGGAATTTGTTGGTGCATGAGCATGTGCACTCGTGCATCGTGTATGTTGTGTTTGGTTTGTGTGCTTAATGTGTGTTTGTCCGCCAGTGACAAATCTGTTTAATAAGTTAGAATACGGAAGTTTGAAGCAGTCATAGGCTTGTTGTTTTGGAGGTATAATGGATGGCCGATCAAAAGCCATTACAAGATGGAGTCGTGGAAGTGGATGAATAAAAAATATGCTGTTGAAATTTCATGCATCTTATCCATTACTTCTTGCAAGTGATTCTCCCATTATTTACTGAATTTATGATTCATAGTTCTGTATATCTTATGAACTTGGATTCCCACTTAGTTTATGTAGGGGTCTTATTGTATTTATGTAGTAACAACTAGTGAACAACCAGACAGCTAGCCATCATCATCAATTATCTGGCTGCATCTGCTCCATTCCAATCATCAAGCAGATAATGTTTCATTCTTGTCTTGCTCATTGTATTTTTCATGGTATGTAAAACATCAAATTACATGTTTTAGTGATAGTCCTTCTTAACATCTCAACATTCTCACCTTTTTATTCTTATTTTGATTTTGATTTTCTGGTTTGATATTCCCACATTCTAATCATTTTAGCTCTTTTAAATGTACTTTCTACTCCCTGCTTTCAGCTTTCTTTTCATGAGGCCTAAATCTTCCTTTGAATACTTTTAGGGTGGATAGTGGTGGTGTTTTCCCAGATGATCTGCCTTAATTGTCTTTTGTGCGGTATGCTGCCTTTAGACCAGCCCCTACTGCAATTATACAGTTATGAAGATTTGGACTTCGCTCATGATGGTTTTCTTTTTAGAGTGGGCCACTCTAGTTCTAGCATTGTTCCATCAGTCTTACCTCGATCTTTAGTTATAATAGTCAATTTCTAGGTTTAGTTGTCATTTTGTTAGAAATTTCGCCCGTATTCATTTATATTCCTTTTAATTATGTGTTTGTTCCTTCACCAACTCTAATCCTAATGTGAGGCAACATCTTTGACATGTGAACTTTGGGCAGCCATTCAAAATCACCGTATATAGGATTTTTCATTTTATTCGAGAAACTATTGGTGACTTGCTGCGTATTTTGCTTATGGTGTCTTGGAGCACTATACGGCAGCACCCAGAGAGTTGTATATTGACTTAAAAATGTCATAAAAAATGTAAATGACTTGTGTATTGATGTATTAATTAAATACATGAAGTTGAGTATGAACTCAACTTGTATAACTAAATTGAGAAACTTGAGAAAATTGAGCAAACATATACAAAATAAAGGGAAAAAAAGAAGAAGCAAAAGCTGATAAAATAGTACTTTTTTCATGGTTGGAGAAAAAAATAAACCAGATTGGAATTGGCCGATTCTGATCCGGACTGATGGGTGGATGATCCAGGTCTTGGGAGCCTTGGAATCTCCAATTCCCACTTGTTTTTAATTTATTTATTATTATTTTTTAATTTTCAAAACTGCCGACTCGGATCGGAATGGCTGATCCCTTTTCTTAAACATTGCTTCTTCTTTTTTTGGCCTGGAGTCTGGACTATTCAATTACCAAATATAACAGAGACGCATTGCAAACTAGGTTGCAAGGTACTTCTATTAACCCAAAACCACTTATTATGAGTCATTGAAACACGCATGGGAGATGGTTTTATTTCGAATGAGGGTCACTCGATTGGCACTATTTATTATGTATTATTAATGCTATTGTTGTTTTTTATTTATTTATTACCTTATTGTTTAGCTATTTGTTCATTGCAGGTCGAAGGTTCTGATGTAGATAATCTTCCTTCAACTAGGACAGTTCAACGTGATCTGTGGATGCATCAGCATCCACGCAATTGTAGAGACCCTCAAACACGGTTTCTCCTTGCTGATTGGGAAAGGGAGCCTGGATTTGGTATCGGTGCTCAAATTGCTGGAATGGTTGGGCTTCTTTCTATTGCAATCGGTGAAAAGAGGGTTCTTGTTACGAAATATTTCAATAGAGCTGACCATGAAGGCTGTCAAGGTAGTATTAGGCTTTCTCAGGTGATGTTCCTATTTTAGTATATGCTAGGTGAAAGTATACTATTATCCAATGGATAAAAGAAATTCGTAGGTCATTGGGATCATCACCATCTTATGGAATGATGGATGGTGATGGAGAGAGAGTGGGACCATGAAAGCTTTCACGGTAGTAATAGCATTTCTTTGGTGATGTTTCTAGTTCAGTATATAGTAAGGAAACTGTACTATAATCTTGTGGACAGTTGGAAATCATTGTCCACTGGGGTCATCAGCATATAATGAAGATGTATGGTGATGGAGAGAGAGTTGGGCTCACCATTGGGCACAAATGTTATTGTGGCAGGTTCCTGTCTGTTCTTAGTCACTGTCCACGGTTTTATTGAACTGTTGTGATCTCATTGGACTTAGTATGTCATAGTCCATATGCTTGTAGTAGACATTTGCCTAATGCTAAATATCAACAGATTTTTCAACTAGTTGTTCATGATTCATCAAACAATAATGATGAACTTTTAATTTGCATCTCCTTAGACTATGGATTTGTTCTGTAGGTATGTCACGCTCTCACTGGTCTTGTTACTTCTTTCCTGAGACATCGGCTGAATGTCAGGAACAGGCCTTTGAACTTGCAAAGATGCAGGATGCTTGGAAGAATGGTACTATAACCAGCAAAGAGAATTACACATCCAAGGAAATATGGGCTGGAAGGGTCCCAAGGTGGTGTTATTGTACCTTCTGTGCAACTTGTTAGACTATTCTTGCAGTAATCTTTTGGTCATTGAATACAAAAAGGCAAACCATTTGGGAAAATATGTATTATAATTCAATGGTCCATGAGAAAGCATTCTGTTGGGTCATCACCATCCAATGAAATGTTGCATGGTGATGAAGAGTGTGGGACCCACAATCAGTTAGTCATGACCCCAGTGTGGGTCCCACCCTCTGCCCATTATCATCCATCATTTCATTGGATGGTGATGATCCACTGGAACCCTTTTTCCAAATTACAAGTTGTAGTGTACTCTAATAGTCTTGTGCTTGGAAACTATGTTTCATCAATCCATGCAATCAAATTATATTCTATCATCGCAGAGTATGGGGTAATCCTTGGGATGAGATGCAACCGACAACAGAAATTAGTGGAAATTTGGTTAAGAATCACCGCAAAATGGATAGAAGGTGGTGGCGTGCCCAGGTATTTTTGCTAGAGCCAACTGATTCCTAAAACTTTATGCATCTCCCATTTCTATTCCATAATTAAACACGTGAAAGAAGGCTCTAATATTTTCATTTGAAAATCTAGTACGTTTTATAATAAGCACTAAGTATATAAAGATCTCTTTGTTGATATTTCAAGGGGAACTTCATTTCCTTTTGTTCAGGCAGTGCGTTATCTCATGAGATTTCAAAGTGAGTACACATGCGAGCTGCTCAACATTGCTCGCCATGAGGCTTTTGGAACTCAGGCTGCGAAACTGGTTCTTGAAACTTTACCTGCAGAATGGCCCAAGGTACTGAGAATGATTTTCAAGTTCTGGAAACAATAACTTGTTACTAACAAAGAGCTAGTATAATCCTATAAATTATACAGAACAATAGACAATTGTGGTCACGACCATTTGATGGAATGGACTGTGATTGAGAGAGTGGGACCCACCAGGAAAGAGCATGAGCCAATGTGGGGCCTCACTCCATCACCATCCATCATTTCACTGGACTGTGATGGCCCCAACAGATATAGTTCTTTGATTATAATATGCATTCCCTTAGTTTTTTGGCTTGTAACATGAATAATTGCAAGTCCACCATGTGCTTCGTACAGAAGAATTTCCCTACTGCTTTCTTGCCCATGTATTGTATACTGTTAAGTGTTAACCATCTCGAGAAACTGACAATGTTTGATGCAAGAAATCTGCTCTTTGTTCTTTAAAATTGCTGAAACGTTTGTGCACTTAGCCCCAAACTCTTCTGTCTATCTATAACATCACGAGCTCTTGCAAATCTGTTTCATACAATATGAAAATGAGGTCTTGCTGTCCTAGAAAATAAGATCTTACTTTCTTAGGAAAATAAGCAGATTTTATCTTTTCCTACTTTGGTATGTCCATGAATATCTTAAGTATATCGAGTCAAAATAGTAGTTTTTTATTTATTGTATATCTCAAACTATGAAGAACTTGTAGCCCTCTACTCTATTTTCGTCATAGTTTTTTGGAATTTGAAGCGGGTAATTTTCAAAGTGACTCAGTGTTTGGACCATCTATGGAAAAGCTGCATGTAGCCACAGACACACAGAGAAGGAATGTTCCCCCTTAAGGTTTGGCTTAGAGGTAGACATCCCAGTATGGTGAAAAAGTTCCATGGTTTGACTCGTTTGAAGTTGTCCCAAAAGTCAATGTTCCGCCTTAAGCTTTGGCTTAGAGGTAGACATCCCAGTATGGTGAAAAAGGTCCATGGTTTGACCTGTTTGAAGTTGTCCCAAAAGTCCAAAACTCCAAACAAGCAGATGTACCCTGTTTAGGATTGGTCCTTGTGCTTGATTGGAGAAGGTGCTTGATTGGAGAAGGTGTTGACGACTGTAACGCTACATCCCAAGTTCAAATTGTATTTGGTAAAAAAAAAATAAAAAAAATAATTGTGCATAGGGATACTGACTATCTCAGTTTTCTTCTCTTGTTCTTTTTTTTTTTTATTGAATTGCTGACAATTTATTTCTATTAAATTTTCATATAGTTACATGATATAAAGTGAACGCATCCAATGGGCCACCTTTTGGTCGTGTACAAAAAACTTGAGAAAGCACACCATTCTAAAAATGGTGCTAGAGAAAGCAAATTATGCATAAAAGGGGGGAAAAAAAGGTAAATGGTCAATACTGTGGACTCGAAGAATTGCTGATTAGGTTCAGCTGATGACAGGTCAAATAACCCCCTTCTTTGGGAGTACATCCACTCTAGCATTCGCCTTTTGCCAGGTATGTCAAAAGGAGATGTTTGCATAGAAAGAAAATATTCTCGAAGATGCTTTGAAGCCGCCATGGGCAGGTGGAGGCACCTGAGGCCCATGCAATGACATTTTTTGAGTCCCCTTCCACCTGTGACTGTATTTCTTGATGCTGTCTAGGAGTGAATTGCTCCCTCTCTAGTCCGCATGACCAATGTGACCGGAATAATTGAGAATGGTGTTGTAGCTATGGCCTCTAAATTGACCACTGATGCCCACAAGGCCTGTGTTGCCATGGGAGCAGCTTTTGAAGTTGAGCTTAATCTGGTTGACCTTTGGGGGCTTCCACAGTGAAGAACGGGAGATGCGATCTGGCCTAGTCTCCAAAACATTGAGCCAACCATTGAGGAGGTCGGCAGTTGCCAGGTCTTTGAAGCTTCTGTGGTGCTGTGCCCAATGGATCACTATGGCCCGGGTGTGAGCAGCATGAGTGTTGGGGTTGGCCTCCCTATCCTCAAATACTCTTGTATTTCTTTCGGACCACAAAGTCCATATCTGACCTAGAATCTGACGTAGATCTACTGGCCACAGACTCCTAGTTAAATTTTTTTGTAAATATCACTATTCATTCCAATGTTTTGGACTTCTCCCTCGAGCTCTCACAGCTTGAAACTGACAAACATGATCTTGGAAGCATGTGGCTCATCATCATGAGTGGTGATAATGTGATTCATTCTTCTTGAATAATGCAATTCCTAGGAGTAACCATTTCAAAATCTCAAATATTGGATTTCCAGATTGAGAATTCTATCAATAGTTGCCAGGTTTATGCGACTACATTTGCAGCTTCACTTTTAAGTAAGATGCATTCTTTCTCTATGCATGGCACACAGTAGGATCCTAGAGCCAATCCCCCAGTTTATGTCTCTAGGCGCCTGCACCCCCCATGACCCCAATAATATAAGCCTAGCCGTGACTCCATTGCATTGAAACTAGAAAACGAACTTGAGTATGTTATGGTCTTACCTGCACGCACTAGAGTATGTTATGGTCTCCCTTCGGTGCCTAGCCACAAATCCATTGCACTGAAACTCAAAAAGGAATATAAGTTTTAGGCAAACAAGTGTACTAAATTTTTAGAAAGATGTGACTCTAGACACGTAAACTAGAGAACGCACACAAACTCACGCAAGGTCATATAACAATCTAGAGTTTTCATTTAAACATGGGGTCGGTAAGAGTTCTAACTGCTTATAAGAAATTTGTCTGTGGTTACAAAAGACAGTCGAGAACTCAAGAAATAAGAAAATTTACATATATGAGACTCTAGGATCGATATAAACCCTGTATACCTTGCTTATAGAAGCAAGGGCATAAAAAATGTGACTCTCTTTCTAGAACTCTTCTAGCTTTGCTCTTCAATTTCCTGATTTTTGCTCTCAAGAGCTCGAAGAAATATCATAAATATCTGTATTTTGAAGCTTTGTATCAGTTTCAGCGGCTATCCTTCGAGACATGACCTCAAATTCATGCTCAAGCCATAGTTATTGGAACCTCCCAAGTACGTGGTCGATTTAGCTCCAGAAGCTCGATACCTTGCTTCGAAGGTAGAGATCTCGATTCCAGGTGTTTTTTGCCTTTGGGGATCGCAATCCAGAAATTTGGGCATCTAGATCCCTGGTTAATGGGATTCACATCTCTCTTATCCAAAATTTGGATCCATGTATAATTAGTAGATCCTCAATGAACTTGGAATCGAGCTTCTTCTACATTGGGAGCGAGGCGATCATTTACAATGGGAGCATAGGTCACCAGCATATTTTAGTTGTTGTGAATGACAATTCTTGTCTAATCTATGAGCTATAGACAATTTGACACATCCCTACTTGGGGAGCTTCTTTATCTTTTCATAACCTATAATTTATGTAAGGGAAAAGTTTATACAGAGCCGAGGCTCTAAACAATCAAATTCGAGCCTACTTCAAAGCTTTCACTAGAAGAGGTTGTTTTGATACCCACCTAGAGTGTAATTCACTGTGTCCTGTCCACCTCTCATTTTCTTTTTGTTTTTGGTGGGATGGGGTGGGGCGGGGGGTTAGAGAGAGAGAAGAGATTTTCACCACTTGAGAGAGAGAAGTTGCTAGGATTGTGAATGCGAAGCAGTGATGGCATTGCCCACCACTTTTGGAGAGAAAGCACAAGGATAGTCAGAATACAAAAAATTTTAATTTTAAGCATTAACATGTAAGGGAGGAGAGGGAGAGAGCATGGAAGATAAGAGGCCTCTGCCCTCTCGTCAACCATATTGCCCAATGGCATCTAAGTGAAAAATCCAAAGGAGTTAAAATAAGGTCAAGGACACTTAGTTTGAGTCCATGTATTGGAAGTCATTCCGGAACTAGAGTGCCCCAGTTAAGTGATCTTTTGGAGCCTTGATTCTATGCTTCGCACAACCCCAATCCCATATACTTTATCATTAAATCCTAGAAAATTTAAATTGACAGGATCTTGATACCTTTACCAAAAAATTTTCGGATCTCGATCCCTCAACTACAGTTTTTCAAGCATTACTCCATCCCACGCTCCTCAACTATGGATTTTCAAGCATTGCTCCATCCCACGCTCCTGCTTCTGCTCTAGGGTCTTCCCTCTCTCCAGATCCTAGTAACTATGGCTCAAACTCTCTCTCTCTAGGGTTGTTCAGAAAGGATCCTTGCCTCTCAAAGTTGACCCTTATATAGAGGTTGAAACTTGATGAGCAAGCCAAATCTTTAATATTGGCAAGTTTAACTCTTCTAGACTGATGTTTCTGAATAATGTCCTTATGAAAACTTCCAAAAACCATCCCATGGGATTTCCTGCGTATTTGGGCCCAACCCGTGACTTGAGGTTTGGAATCACGGCATTGTCGAGCTCACCATCAGCCTGATTTAGTAAGTTTATAGTCCTTATGATGGACCCCACTCGATTCCTGTCCAATGGTTCATCCAATGGCTCTGATTGCTTCCAAATTCATATTGCATTTCTCAAGATAATAGAGAACAAATATTTTTCCATTTAGTAAGTTTATAGTCCTTAATGAAGGATCCCACTTGATTTCCTGTCCAAAGGGTTCATCCAATGGTTCTGATTGCTTCCAAATTCATATTGTGTTTCTCAAGATAATAGAATCAAATATTTTCCCAAAGAGGTTTTCAAAACTTCAGGAACTTTTTGGATTGGCGATTTAATCTCTACTATACTTGCTGTATTCTGCAATAGATTCTTCTTCTGAATTCTGACAATATTCCATGATTATTAGTGAAATCTCAATCGGGACCTTCCTTTGTTTTTGAAACAGGGGAAAATTACTTAAAAATCCGTTATACTTTGCGTTATTACGGATATACCAAATAGTTTATGTTATTACATGTTTGTTTTTTATCTTTTATAATGCAATTTTTTAAAAAGACCATTTTACCCTTTTTCGGATGTTCAACATCCGAAAATAGGCCGAAAGTTAAATGTTAAAATTTCTATTTTCGGATGTTGAACATCCGAAATTAAGAGATTTTTGGATGTTCAACATCCGAAAATACCCTGATAGTTTAACGTCAAGTATAACATTTTTGGATGTTGAACATCCGAATTTAAGAGATTTTCGGATGTTCAATATCCGAAAATACCCTGATAGTTAAATAAACCTTCGTTTTCTCTGTTTTCGGATGTTGAACATTCGAAAGTCTCTTAAATTCGGATGTTCAACATCCGAAAATGTTATAACTACACTATCGGGGTATTTTCGGATGTTGAACATCCTAAAATTCTTTAATTTCGGATATTCAGCATTCGAAAATAAGAAATTTAATGTTTAACTTTAGGCCTATTTTCAGATGATGAACATTCGAAAATCCCACTAATTTGGATGTTCAACATCCGAAATAGGGTAAAGTGGTATTTTTTAAAAAATTGCGTTATAAAAAGTAAAAAACAGACATACATGTCGTAACGGAAACTATTTGGTATATCGGTAATAACGCAAAATATAACAGATTTTTATGTAATTTTCTCTTGAAAGAATATTCAAATCAAGATCCCAAGGCAGAACCTTTTTTCCTACCTCAATCACTTAGCATTTCAGGCTCATCTGGTCATAATCCTGTTAGATCTTGGAAATAGAAATTCAAATGGTTCTTGATCAATCCATAGCATCTACTTAAGAATCTCAGATGTGCATGTTCACCGCAAGAATTTAGCAAAGCAAACTCCTTGGTGAACACCCAATACTCCAACCGAATGGTGCAAACTTTCCTCACATTCTTAGTTTATTATTCAAAGACTGCACACCTAACTGTCCTCCATTTGGATTCCAGCTAGGCCCCAGATGCAAATTCATCGCGAGGGGCGATTTGCCCACATGCTGATCTTGCAGTGAACATGACGTTGACCCTCGTCTTTCCCATGATTTGTCAATGGAAGGCTGAATCACAAGGTTAACACTGCCTACGGCAATTTTGATTCCATTAGGATTACATTTAGCTCACCTCTTGGAACTGTTTTTTTTTGGGAAAGTCAGTGGAGAGAGGGCCCCTACCCTTGGTAGGAATTGAACCTAAGACACCGTGTTGCAAACCATCCAGCACTAACCAATTAAGAACCTCTTCAAGTTGACTATAGAGTACTGCATATGACCTCTGAATAGCTTGCGGTGAACTTGGTTTGACCTTCATAAGCCTCTCCAATCTTCCTGATTCCTCAAAAAACCTTTCTAAAGCATCATCTTTCACCCCCACGTCAAGTTTGAGCCATTTCGGTTCCATCTGGCCTCTCATGTCAAGTTTACCACGAGGATGCATGTGTATCCTTTGGATCCATGGCGAACTCGACTTCCCCTCTATAGTCACCTCCAAACCTTCTAAAACTCTAAGAAGCATTGTTGAAATATGGTTTCCAAATCTTCCACCAACTTTCAGATTGGACGCTATTTGATCCACAATGCCAAATTCATCGTCTGGGGCTGTTCAGGGCAATATAGCCTCACAGTGGACCTGAATAATCCCAGTCCTGATCCCCAATTCACGTGATTCTTGGCACACAGCTGTATTTCGCCTTGCAAGTGCTTTATCAAAGTTTTCAACCATTTGGAGTTTATTTTCATGGACTTTCTATCTGAGGACTGTAGTCCTTTCACAAATTGTTTGTATTAACATCACAAAACATCCTCAAACAGTAAGATGAGAATGTTAAGAATTTACTCCTCTCATGCATGCGCTAGTGTAAAGTTACCTAAAATTTTGAGGCTGATCCTCCAATTTATGCGGTCTGCAAGAATCAATGCCTCCACTATTTGTCAAAGCATCCTCAAACAGCCCAAATCAGTGAGTTCCAATAGACTCATCGAGTCCGTCTAGAACTCGCAAAGTTGTTGTCGCTTGAGTACTACAGTAGTTCAATACCTAACTGTTGGGGGTTTCCCAGCTCGGCAAGGTGCCAAGTCCCGATTGTCTTTTGCTGAGTTTTTTAACATTAATTTGACATACCTCGTACATTTGGTTTTAGAAGTATCATTTGCAAGTGAGAGATAGAAAGGTGGGTCCATAGAGAACGATTGATTAGGTGGTTCAATAGAGAACGATTGATTACTTGTTGATTGCAAAATTTTGGGGGGGAGGGAGGGGGAACGGGGAGAGAGATAGAGAGAGAGAAAGAGGAGAGGAATGCGAAACATGTAGTTTGCTCTTGTCCACAATTTTACAGAGTTTGAGATAAGAAATGAGGGCCAAGGTCTAGGATGTAAACCTATTTTAAGAGAATTTCCCACAAAAACAGCTACTAATTGTCATGTGGAACTGTTGTTAGTTGTTTACTCCCTAGGAACTTTACCTGCTTTGACACCTCAAAAGAATCATGGGAAAGTTAAGTGTACCTTATCTGCATCATATACTTGGAGAACAGGATGTAAAAATTCAAATTGGAACATGTATCATTACCAAAGCTTTTTTCACTGTGTTTTGTATTCTTATGTATCCGTTTCCTTGTTGATTTTGAACTTAACCATAAGTTTTTACTTATGCAGTTTCCTCCCAAAAAAATTATTTTACTTATGCATTTCATTAAACCAAAGAGTTCTATATCTGCAGGTATCTGAAGCTAAACTGCGATCTGAGATGGAAAAATATGTTTGGTCAAATTATAAACCTTGGGTCCCTAGACCCCTCTTAAGCATACATGTAAGAATGGGTGACAAGGCATGTGAAATGGAAGTATTTGGTTTTGAGGCTTACATAAGACTTGCAGACCGCATCCGGAGTTACTTTCCAAACCTAAAAGACATATGGCTCTCCTCTGAAATGCAGGTCTCTCTCTCTCTCTTCCCCCTTCCCCTTGCCCCCCTCCCTCCCAAAACACAAACCCCCCCCCCCCGCCCACCCAACACACAAAAAATTGGGGGGTCATTTTTTTTTCTTCTTTTTTGGATAGACGAAATAGTGAGATATTTGCTTACCTCTTACAAGTTCATATTAGTTGAATGAAAACACCCATCAAAAAACAGGAAAATTTTGATCGGTCCCCTAATTCAATTAATGTGTACTTTGTAGAATTACTTTAGATGTTTGGAATGCTTTTACAATTCAAAATGTTATAAGATTGAGGGACCAAATGCACTTTTTACAGTATCACATAGAAAATTTCTTATATTTTTTCAATTCATACCCCAAAGTCGATAAATTGAGGCTATCAATGGCAGGGTATATTTGATGGGGTATTAATTCAATTAATGTGAGTTTTAGAGTTACTCAAGATGTTTGAGAATGTTTTTATAATATAAAATCTCGTAAAATAGAGGCCCAATGACACTTTCAACATCATCCAACTGAAAAATTTCTACATTTATCTTACATGTTTTTCGATACATGCCCATCAGGAAGTCATTGATAAATCGAAATCATATACTCAGTGGAATTTTCACTACACTAATGTGACACGCCAAGTGGGGAACATAACAATGGCTACCTATGAGGCAAGCATCGGCAGAAGAACAAGCACCGATTATCCATTTGTTAACTTTTTGATGGCAGCTGAAGCCGATTTCTTCATTGGAGCATTGGGTTCGACTTGGTGTTTTCTCATAGATGGTATGAGGAGCACTGGGGGGAAAGTAATGGCTGGGTACGTAAGTGTTAACAAGGACCGGTTTTGGTAATCTATCCCTCTTCGAAGTCCAATGGAGCATGAGTCTCTTAGTCCAATGTACCATAGTATGCTTTCCCTTTTGCCTCTTGCTTTCGTTCTTTTTGTACACGTGCCATATCTTCTTGAATCACTATCAGTTGTACAGATAAAAGCAATAATGTATGAATCTTGGTATTCTTTCCTTTTATGTGTGACGTTTGAATCTTTTTCATCGGATTAACAATTCTTGCCAAAAGGGAATCTTGGTAAAATTAGACAGGAAAACCACTTGGTGATAAAACCCAACTGTACTAGTGGATCTTTAGGTCCTCAGAAATAGGAATCCATGCTTAAAGTCATCTTTCTAGATATCTTAAAGCAACCACTTGTGGTGGCTTTTCTGCAAGTTTCATGATTGCATGCGATAAGGCAATGGATCAAGTGCTCCAGTCCATGCCATATGAGTCATTGAGATATATGAAATGCACTGAAAGTGGGTCTCTTATTGAGGCCTTGATGGACTGAAAAGGTGAGGTCAGAAATTGGAGTTCTCATGAAAGGGAAAAGGTGAGGCTACAATGAACCAAGAGGTCAAGATTTGGAGGTAATGACAAAAGTCACTAGTATAGGAGAGGTGGCAATTTCAAATATTTCTTTGTGTCTGGAAAGCATCACTTCGTCTGGCTTAAGTGTCATCCCACTATAAGGCATCAGCCTATTATATACAGATACGCGTGCAGGCTGACACACATATGATATATACATTCATCCATACATGGACACATACTTGCGTGCCTGTATGCATGCGGCATGTGCGTGCACACACAATGTTATATATGTTTATGTACATATGTATAACTATATGTATGTATGTGTGCATGTATGTATCCTGTGAATGATGGTCAGAGAAATGTACCTTGCATTCAAAATGGTGAAGGCACGCATGGATCATTTGGCCCCCGCATAAAGTAATTGCTTACATATTACACAATTTGATTGCTAAAGGAGGCGGTATGTGGGTGAGGTTGGTTTGTCTGAGATTGCCCTTAACTATACCCACTTCCGAACATTGGTAAGTGGAGTGTCCCCATCTTATAATCAATGAAAACTTCTTTCCACTAATGACTCTGTGCTGTTCTTGCCCACTGTTGAGGGCCCCACCCTCATCACGAGGACGAAAACGCAGCCGGTTCGGACCATTGAATGCATTATTGCTTTGCGAAAAGCAACAGCACACAAATCATCTGTGTTGTGTGTGTATTGTGTGCGCATGTGTTCATATAATTTTGTAGAAATGCCTTCTTCTCAAGTGAAGTTGGCTGATCACTATGGCACAAGGTGGATGCATCTATTTACTTATAGAATATGATAAGACCATGTATTTTGTATGGTAACACCATTGTAGCATACTATTAAATTATGCTAAACAAGGGCTGTTGTGCACAAGGTGGATGCATCTATTTGCTTATTGGTATGATAAGGCCGTATATTTTTATGGTGACACCATTATAGCACTATTAAATTATGCTAAACAAGTGCTGTTGTTAGGTTTTGTTTTGTAGTAGACACTGGGAAGTTTATATAGATGTTCTTTATATTTTGAGGAATTTAAAAAAAGAAAAAGTTTATATAAGTGTGAGGCTCTAAACAATCAAATCATAGCGCACTTCAAAAATTTCACTAGAAGAGGTTATTTTGATGCCCAAATATCCTCAAATTGATCATCTTGACATCAAGATACATGGACATGAGAAAAAGGTAGAACCACTGTATAATCTGAATTTTCAATTGAATATGGAAGAAACAATAGCCCTGGAGAGATGAACTTGCAAAGACCACTGCATAATCTGAGTTTCAATTGAATGTGGAAGAAACCGACTATCGAAGAAACAATAGCCCTAGAGAGATGGACATGCAAAGACCAGTGCATAATCCGAATTTCAATTGAATATGGAAGAAACAATAGCCCTCGAGAGAGGGACTTGAAATTTGGAGCATCCTATTTACTTTTGATTGAGAGAACAAAAAAAAAAAAGTTGAAAATGTCCGCTCTTTTGAAAAACTGATTAGGCTATTAGACTATCTTCTTTCTATGTAATTTCTATCATCCTTCTTTTTGCAGGTATATTCATTGTATGGAATTCTCCCAAATGGTATTAATATTACAAATACTACCAGAAGTTAATGGGGATAGACTGTTTAGGTTATTTGTGAACAAGCCCTATTCCTTAGCTGTGCATTCCTTGCAAAACCTTCAAGTCTCTGTCTCAATGCAGTGCAGCCTTGACTCTCTGTCCAAAACTTGATACCCATCATCATCACCTTCACCCTCTCCCAAACATCCATTTCTCTCACACCTCAATTTGCAGATCTTTTCCACATCTAAACCCTCCCGCAATCACTTCTTTCTCTACAAAATAAGACCTACCCCAAATATTGAACACCTCAAAAATTCCACGGACAAAGCACAAAACCCCACCTCAATGGCAAACCCCCGCCCCAAATTCTCTCCATCTAAACCTTAGCAAAGCTCTAAGGGAGATAGAAAGTTAGAGAGTTGGAAAATGAGGATGAAATAAACTTATAACGAGTAAAAAAAAAGGGAAAATTACAGGAAAATTACAAAACCCCCAAGTATGTTATCTATGCAACTTACCTCAGCCAACGTTTTCTTTCATTTTTTTTTTCCACAACCACCTTTCCTTACAAATACCCCCAATCCAAAAAAAGAAAAAAGAGACTAAACTATCCCCCTCTCTCTCCTCATGGCTTTTAACCACGACTCTCTCCCCGTGCATTTTACCCACACGCTCCAGCAATGTGGAGACTCGTTCAGGCAATGAAGACACACCCTCCAGCAATGCAGAGAGTTGCTCCGGCAATGAAGACAAAATGCAGAGGGCCGCTCCGACAATGAAGACATGCGCTCCAGCAATGTAGAGGGTCGCTCCGACAATGAAGACACGTGCTCCAGTAATGCAGAGGTTCGCTCCAGCAATGAAGACACGCGCTTCAGCAATGCAGAGGGTCACTCCGGCAATGAAGACACGCGCTTTTGCAATGCAAGGACTAGCAGTACACCTTCTTGAACCATAGTGCTCCGGCAGTTGAATAGGTCGCTCCGGCAACGAAAACAAGCGCTCAAGCAGTACAAAGACAAGACATGCTCTGGTAGTACACCTTCTTGAGCCACATCGCTCCGGCGGTTGAATTGGTAGCTCCGGCAATACGCTACTTGAGACTGCCAATTGACTTTTTTTTTTGTCAGGAGAGCATTTCCATTAAAAAAATAACAACTTTTTATCTTGGAGGGTTTTATGAGGAAAGGTGGTTGTTGGGGAAAAAGTGAGAGAAAAGGTTAGCTGGGGCAAGTTGCATAGATAGTATACTTGGGGGGTTTGTAATTTTCCCTCCAAAAAAAAAGATAAAGGCAAAAGAGGGTTGACCTTTATGAGCAATCCACACCGTCCAAATTAATGGGCGATGCTAAGGGCTGCAGCCCTACTTGTTTTCATTGGGCTGCAGCTCTAT